CCAGTGCTTTGCAGCAAAGACTCCCCCAAGACCCCTTCACCAGGAGTGCTACCCAGACGTTTTCAGCAACCTTTGTGCCGCCATGACGAGACTTGGCCTGATGCAGTAAAAGCGACCCTTCCTTGCTCAGTTGAGTTGTGTAAAAGGCAAGCTTGCTTCCTCTTTTCCTCTGCGCTCTATTGTGATTTGGACATACAAACAAAGACATCATCCCCGCTAGTGTTCAGATTTCCCCCTGGTATCTGATGTAACAAGTGTTGGTTCCTCGCTTGGTCAACTGGTTTAGTGTGATGCCTTGAGATTCAGAGAAAGGCCCAAAGGGGAGCCTCATGAATCCTATTCTGTGACTTTGGGAATTGCTAGGAACTCCTGACGAAGGCCCAGCAGCAGCCCTACGTCAGGAACCAGGTTCATACGTTGAGTGTTTTGACGCAGAAGGCATGCTTTCTGCGAGAGACAATTATAAACAGCATCTGTAATTTTCAAAATCTGTTACCAGTCACATTCTACAAAATTTTGTGGGCAAAGCCAGCATCATGAAACAGCTATTCCCTAAGGAAGAATTTCTTCGAGAAGGGTGACACAGTCTTCGTGGCCGGTGCTTTTGCCACGTACCTGCACGTGACAGCAACAGGCTGGACTTTTCTGGACTGATGGCTCGGCTGAAAGGGGGGCCGTTTACCCCTTCACATGTCATGAATGAAGAAGATGAGATGATGGCGCTGTCAGCATGTAGATTAGCAATTTCTCCTCATGCATCCGGCGCAGTCCAGCGCAGGCACCTATGACTATGCAGATCGATTGGGCAAGACCGACGCTGAGCAGAACAGTCCTTGATTGAATGGCTCTCCCAGCCACCGGCATCAGTGCCATCCTGCCCAAAGACTGTGTGTGGGTTTGGGCAATATCCAACTGAGTGATGTTTGCTACAAAAGTCTTATGAGTCGGGTGCGTGCCTACCCTGGGATGTCCTCAGCCTACCTCAAGGCACAATGCAAAAGCCACATTGATAGGGCAAGACTTTGTTTAGCCACATACGCATATCATCAGGTCTGCTGTGCTTGAATTGTCTGAGTGCGGAGGCATCCTTGAAGGGGACGTACTGGTTTGGTGAGCTCAGCTTGTTCGCAGAGTGGAGCATCCATCAGTGCCCTGCCTGAGATAGAGAATAGTGGTCAGCTGTTGTCTTTGGCAAATTTAACGTCCAAGACCCTGTTCGAGCAAGCTGTACACATGCTGTACACCTTTGAACAAACGCCTTGTGGAACACAGACGGTCCATGCTGGGCTTTTTCTCAACACTTTCAAGGCCGTATCTCTTGAATGCCACGAGTCTTGACCTAGTTATCTCATTGTTGTTGCATCGTATGAAGCCGAAGATTGCTAGACAGTTGTTGGACTGCAGGGCCCTTCTTGGCATATTGACCAGTGGCATTTTCATGTATCGAAATGGAGACAACCATGTTGGGAAATGATCCGATAGACTCTTGAACTGGACGGCTCCCATCAGCTAGACAAAACATTGCGAAATGTTTGACCTCTTCTGTTCACTCTTGCTCTCTTTCAGCAATATGTGCCAGGTTTAAGCATGGGCCATGATGTTTGAGAATGTTGCGCTGTATGAGCTAAAGCTGGCAATTCGTCCTGGGTGAGCTGACGAAAGCGCCATCCTAAGATTCGGGTACGACAGAAGACCATTGGTGCACCATAACTAGAGAAAGCCATTCATGTTAATGGCAATGCTTTGAGCTTTTGCATGTATTCTACATATGGGTGTTTCTGCACATGATGAGAGGGGGCATTCCATCATGGGGCCTCTCTTGGGGACTCCGGGCGTTTGCAGAAGTTTAACTTGATGTTCTCCTCGGCCGTGTTTAGAGCAGTACTTCAGCCGTCGAAGCCCTGGACTGTTCGACATTTCTGTGATTGCTGGCCCGCCGCGGAGAACAGGTGCGATAAAACCCTGAACTCAGAGCTCTAAAGCCTAAAGTATTGCAAGACCTAGCGGAAACCGAGACCCACAAACCTCGAACTCTACGCACGCAGACCCAGAACTCCAAAACCAAAAAAAAGATTGAAATAATACAGCCCGCAAACTGCCAACCCTAAAGCCCTACACCCTGAACCCAGAAGCGCAAGCCAAGAAGGCCGTGAATCCCAAAGGCAAACCACAAACCCTCCGCCCCCCTGACCTGCATGTCAAGGAGCACTCTGACCGCAACTTCCTTTGCCGAAACCTTCGTTTTGAAGGGGGAAGATGCCCGGATGCAAGAGCGACCGAATAAGTTCAAGACTCGCTTCTCACTGGAGAAATAACAGAAAGTAAACGAGAGCAAAGCGCTTTTGCTGTTGGGTTTCATACCAGTCTCTCATGCTCATGTTGAAGTCTGATGCTGGCTTGTCTTAACGGATTTTGCGTTCTCTTGTTTTATGGTGCCAGTCGCCAATGCGCTTTCTGGGTCCTTTGTTGTCTTCCTCGCAGCCACTTGTACTTGGCAAATCTGATGTCCCTTGTGTTTCGTCCGCATCGACAGTCCGTAGGCAGTACTGCTCCCCGTCTTCTTATCCTCCTACCCCAAAAACCTGTTGTACGTACTGGCGCCCTTGCAAACGTCCTAGAGATGAAAGGTGCGGTCCAGGGAAGACATTTGCAAGCATTCAAGTAGCAGCTGGTTGTAAGCCACATCCAGGACGTTGTCGAATGCATCAAAAGCTCAAGGGGCTGCACATCAATGTTCTGCGAGAATCTGGCACGCACTGGGAGACTTTGCTTGGAGTGGTAAGGGTTGTATGAAGCATGTCCCAAATATCACGCGCTCTATGTTCGGGCCGCATGTGCAAGGAATTTCAGCGCCTTGTTAAACATTGTACTGAGACCAGTCAAAAATGAAGTTGCTGTGTTCAGGTATGCGAAAGATTTTGTTGCGGCGATGCAGAAGACGTCTTCGAAGCATGACGATGAGGAGCGGCCTTGAGCGGCATTATTTGTGAGATTGATGACAGATCGGAGCTTGTTTATGCCGGGATGCCTTGGGGATGGTGTCAATTGATGTATCTGCGGCCTCCTCCAGAGGCTAATTTGTTCAATCAGATTAGAAGGCTGTTCAAGCTGCAAGTTTCTATGGCGCAGCCCCGACAAGCTAGCCGTTGCAGGACCAAGTTCAACAAGGAGAAGTGTGCTGCAAGCAGAACCAGCATTTTCGAGTGCCTGGTTCCGGATAGGTTACTTTCAGGGTACCTGGTTTATACGTGAAGTTAAGGGGTACCCACAACGGCCCCCGATAGCATCCCAGTTGGGCAGTCGGAGTCAGTCAGAATACGCTGCCTAAACCTTACTGAACGAATCAGCAGGCAATGTACCCGGATCTCAAGAAGAAATTCGAGAACATCATCGTATACGGAGAAGATGCTGATGCCGTGATACAGGCCGCCAGAAGTGGTTCTCGCCTCTTTTTTGGTGAGGCTATAGCCAGCCGCGTGCTGACTGCACTAGATACTATTAGTGGGTATTTGATATGCGTCAACGCAAAAGAGACAAGTGGCGTGGACTTGAGCTGGTCCTACTGTGATACCATGCATCTTGCATGACCTGAAGGTACTAGGCTCCCCTAATTCCCGAGGCAAAAGGAACTCAGGCTAATTCAAGATGATAAGTGTCCACCGTGTTACACCAATTCGGAAAGCCAATTCGTACCCAGACTGCAAAAGACTCGAATGCAGACTCAAGTTTGAAGTTTCTTGCCTGCTTACCAGAAGCCATGGTGTGCACGCACTTCTTGAAGTGTGGTTTCAGCCCTGACTTAATCTCTTCCATCCATACAAACTGTGAAGATATTCGAAATTGCAGCGGTGGCCCAAGCATGCTTCGAGGCTTGTTCTTTCCGTGTTGAGATCGTCTGTGCTTTGTTGGGTGCCTCTGCAGTACAGCATCCGTCTTCAATGTGCACGCATGTTGATAGTGCGAAGCTGCGGGCTTCAATACCTGCTTTACTATACTTCTTCAGGTGGCAAATGCTGTAATTGCCTCAATGGTCCCCCGAGGAGTAAACACTGGAAAATTGCTTGAACCCACTTGGACAATGCTTGGTATCACATGTTGTTTATAAGTAGGTTCATATAAGTCATGGTTGGACCGAAATGGAAACCCCCACATGGGGGGACCTGAAAGGGGGCCTTGTTGCTGAAGGCACTGATGTGAGGTCTCGACGACATATCTCGCAGGAAAGACATATAGCAGGTCTGGCCAGTGGCCACGTGCGACGCCTGTTTCCTTGCCTGACTCCTCCTGCTCTTCCGGCAAGTACCAATCCAAAGGCACAAACTGTAGTTGCGGCTTTGCCGTCTTTTTGCTCTTTCTGAGAAGTGGTAGAGGATGATTGAAGGTTCTTGGTAACACGGAGACTGAACAGTCGTATGAGTCTCGCGCAGCAACAAGAACACATTTTTCGAAATGTTTTCGGCCCCAATGTAACTCCTGCCATAAACCTTGAATCCCTAAAACCTTGGCGCCTCTGCTTTGGAGGCGGACAGCCATACGGAGACGGATAGCGAGGTTGTCACGAGGAAATCGTCCTTAGCCTCAAAGACTCTCTGCCGACTAAACTCTGACTGCTTCTCAGCTTATGAGGCAGGCTTTTGAAGTGGAGTCCGTAGATTCTTGGTTCGGTTTGGGGTATGTATTGGATCCTGATTTCGGGAAATGCCTTCTCATTTGTCCTTGGATGCTGATTGTACCATCCGAGAGGGAAGTTGTGTCCCAAGTTGTTGGAACTTGTCCCTGGTTGGATGCCCCAGTCCTATCTTTGAGTATTTTGAACTTTGAAGGGTTGGCAATGGATTTCAGTTCTATTGAAGTTGCTAGACTCATAAAACGGGAGCCCCTTTATAAGTCAAGCTTACCAGGCAATACTCGTAGTTGTCCCAGGCTCTACTGCATGGACGGCTGGGAGTTCTACCAGCTCTGGTATTCGAAGAGATTGTATGCAGGATCCAGGACGCAGCCACGGGATCAGGTTGCAGCTTCAGCAAACGCAGATTCTTTTTGTTGTTCGAGCCAAGCAGGTGCACTAGGGGTATGGGGTGGCAAAAGAATTGCCAAAGTCGCTCGTGCTGTTGGCATTTTCGCTGCGCAAGCTGTTTTTGTTCTGTAGCAGGACTGCTAGGTTTTGTGATGACGTCAACGTCGGACAGCCTCGTTGCGGACATGCTGCTTGCTTTGAAGAGAGGGTGTTTTTCTTGACATTTCTGTGGTAGGGCATTGGCTCTGAAAATCAGTTGCTGGCCAAGGAGCTCGTGCAGGTAAATCGTATCGTTAGGTCCGCCTTCAGGGTGTGCTCCAAACTTATGCAGTGTATGCAATGCCCGCCCACCGTTGCGCCCTTGCACTGGTGCATACCGTCCGTTTTGCAATGCAATCATCTCCTAGCTTTTGTATGATGCCTTGAGCCTTCTGATCTTCCATGCAAGGTTGCCTGGGCAGCTGGAGGAATACATTCCAGAGCTCCACCCAGACTTCAGCCCACATGTGATATTCGAGCAGGCCATCAAGCATGTGGCATGAATGTTGGCCTGAGGATGCATGCAGAGTACGGTGCAAGTGCTTTGCATCAGCACGCTTTGCTGCGGAGCTTTCTATGTTCATATCAATCACATGCGCCACCCTGAAGGCAGTTATTGTTGCGTTTCGAGGTTTTAAATGTCAGAGTGTTCGCTGGACGCTTGTCAAGCGTTTTGGAGGTTTCAACTCGCGTGCTTGCAACGCTTGGCACGTGTTGTGAAGTTGCAGTCACACATGCTTTCCTATAATGTGCAAGCACCTGTATGCACGTATTTGTATAGTATATATGTATATTATTTAGATGTATTAACAGTTTTCACATAGGAAGCCCGTTGAACCTCACATGTGCTCTAAGTTGGGTATTTTGAACTGGCGGGTCAGGCAGCTGAACGAGACAGGGCCTTGTCTTCCTGTATTAGCGCTCCTTGGATGAGACAAGCAGATTCATTTGGCCGTGTCTGGCCTGGTCGTGCAAGTAGTGATTCGAGCAGTTAGGTACCGCATAAGCCACAAGCTTTTGACTTGGTATCAGCGGTGGCGCGCTGCCGTATCTTGGGACTAGGTCCTGGCACTCGTGAACAATCGCTACGACATCTTCACAGCACCGCAGGGCAAGACTTTTGATTGCAAACATGTTTCGAGCACGCACATACCCAAGGTTTGAGTGATGGCATAAGCTGTCTTTTTAAATCTCTTTTCTGTTCACGTGTGCATTGGAGTTGCACTAGCATCCGAACACCTGCGAGTTCAAGTTCCGGACTGGTGCTGTAATTGCAAGTGAGCGGAACACCGTTTTTCTCTGCTCAGCTGCAATGGTCCTGGGAGCATAATTTAGTACACGCCTGTCGGTACCGGCATGCCCTGACATGCGTCATGCAAGAGATCTCTGTCCTTGCACGATGGAAGATCAAGGACAGCATAACCCTCGTGAAACTGTCCTCAAATCTCTGAAGACTCTGAAGGCCCTATGAAACCTTCATACGAAATCCGCCGTGACAGTGATGAACTGGCATTGTGGGTGACATTGCCCGGCAAACCCCTACTCCCAGCATTTCATTTGACAATCGAGCACGCAGCTGCAGTCAGCAAATGTGGCATTACATTGCAGCTTGTGAAGCAATGTAATGACATGGAAGGTTCTACAATTTTACCTATGACAAGCAATATCGTGCAATGTCATGTCATTTGCGTGACAAAAAGTCATGCAACAAACATATCACCTCTTTATTGCGTGACGTAATGCCACGTCGCACAACGCTCTTTTTGATGTGATTAAGGGCAAAGGCGGGCAGAGTGGTTGCAATCTGCGAAGCAGCACCACGCACTGCCATGCAATGCAATGTACAGAGTAACGACAGTACTCAAATGCATTTAGGATGGTATCAAGATGGGCGACATGCATCACCATGTTGGAGCATCAAGCAGCGTACTTTTGAGGGATTGCCTTTTCATGCTTCCATGACCATTTGCCTCTGCCCCCAAGGAATGTGAAGCTGAAACCTTCCCAGTGGGAAGAATTGCAGGAGCTCGTTGCCTGGATTGCAGCTCGGATGAACATCTCCAAAGGGTTTTGCATAGGACCTGTTACACGCGGAATGCGGAGTGCTGGGAACAGGAGAAAAAAGGCCACGTGTGCACCACCTCTGCGGGAGACCTCACTCCATTCAACATTAGCATTCTGGAATTAGCCGGATTAGACCCCCTCCGCAACCGCTTTGACCTACCCCATCCTTGATTATCATGCAGATGGTGACGACCTAAGGATCCCAGCCCGCAGGAGGTTCAAGCAGTTTTGGTCAAGAGCTCAGATCCGATATACAGCAGATTGCTTGGAGTACTGAGTACTTGAGTGGCAGAAAATCTCATTTGATGGGACTTTTGACTGAGGGCGACAGGAGGTGTGAGGGACTATGGTTTGTAGCTTTCACGTGTCTCAAGAGCTGCCCATGAGTTTCAAGACCCTCCAAAGCACTTTGATTAGTTCTTAATGTGCCAAGTTTTCACTCTCTTCATCCAGCTTCGTCAACTGCCACAAAGACCCGCTTTGTTGTTGTTGCTGCTGTTCTAGGCTCTAGGCCTTTCAAACGCAAGTGTCGAATTCCTGCTCAAGGTACTGTTGGCAATTCGCGCGTTGGGCAAATCAAAGGCGATCCAGGGTAATACGCGGCTACAGTTTCAGGCTTAAGGGTTTGTGCTTCGAGTGCTGGATAGCTTGAGCCATATCAGTGCAGTACGGACTTATGCAGGCATGTGTGTCACGACAGTTTTTTCGAAATGGGGGTCAGATTGAAGGTTTTAGAGGTTAGTGGACATGGCCGAAAATCCGTGATGCCGTACCCTCTAATATGTCAGGATCTTTGATTTGGCAGGTCTCTATGTGAATCTACGTGGTTGACACCCCGCATTGTTGCGCAAATGTGATCGGTGATGGCTTGTGCCTGTTGGTGCAAACTCTACAAGCCAGACACTTTGCCAGAAATCTTGCGTATCAGCCGACTCCAAGCCAAAATGCTTCACTTTTTTATGCAGCGTTTGGCAGTGTCAGATCATAGTTCATCTCATTGTGTGTCGGGTGTAGGGCCAGTCGCTCTTGGAAGTCCTTCTGTCCTTAAGAAACTTGAACATGACTGGAGGCCTCCGTACAGAGAAGCCCGAACCTGAACCTACCCTGTGCCAGTTGGTGCAAGAGCAGCTGCCAGCCAAAAGCCAACGCCCGGAGAGGGCGGTAGTGTACCTCGTGCAGAGCTGCTGGGCAACACTTGAGGGTTCAGAGCTTTTAGGCGTAGGACGTGATTCAGGCCAGAAAGTGATAGTCCCTAACCGTCTGGCATACCAAGAGGCATCCCACAAATACGGCAGTCCATCTCATTTTTGCGAAAGCTCTGATGCGTCTAACACCCAAAGCATTGTACGTCTGCATTCAGCAGAAGTATATCTACATTCTCAGGACAGGATTAGTTTCTTCGCTGCACACATGTTTGAATGGGCCACACAGGTGTTCAGAACATCGTGCCCTCTGTCCGCTGGCTGACGGCCAGGAGCATCGGCTGGGTGGAGGACCGATTGGACCGGCAAAGGGAAACATGTTGCTATGACCAAGCCGAGGAAACGTATGCAGAAGTGATCTTTGGGGATTGCAGAAGTTGTGCCATCCGTTCCTCTGAACTAGAAAGCAAATTTCACGATCCTGATGAAATCCACATGCAAAGCTGTTTGCGCAATATCATGCTGCAGAGGGGGAAGCCCCCCAAGCATTCAGCTTTAAGAAGCCTTTTTCCAGTTCAATAGTTTTTGATGAGCGCTAGCAGGTGTTCATTGCTTATCGAGGGAATCGAGGGCATGTTTTTTATTGAGTGTTAAACGGGCTCACTACAGCCTGTTTAGCGAAGGAGGTAGTTGAGGGTTTTTCCAGCTTCCGGCTTACGTACACAGATCCATAGAAAATTCGCTATCCCCGGCAGGGGGTCAGGCACAGTACACCCATCCGGCTTCCAAATCCCTCAACTCCTTCCAAATCCCTCAACTGCACAACGTCAGATTCCAAATCCCCAGCCCAAATCCTGAACTGGATCCGCATGGCTAGCAGATTTTCAGGGATATCCACATTCTAGAGCACTTCCCAAAGTTTGCTCCAGCCATTTTATCATAGAAATCCTTGAAAGACCACATGGACTCCTCCCCCAAGATTTTGATCTTATTGAATGGCCCCCCAGCAAGGCTTCACTAGGCTTCGTTCCTGGGATGTGCAGCCTCGACAACTGAGTTTAATGAGGAAGCGCTGCTTACACATGAGCTCTTCAACCTGGCGCCAGCCGACTAAAAAGAGGACCAGCAGACTTGAGAGGGATCCGAAAATTCAGGATCTCTTTTGGAGTTTCTTTTCTAGCGAGGAGCAGTACGGGCATCAGACAGGTTACAAGAAGTGTAAGGCTGTTTTTTGAATGGGAAGGTCCAATCATGGGGTTCGTTGTGTGTTTGAAGTTCACAAGCTTTTCAGGCCCCGGCCTCCCTACGCCATTTTCACCTGCTGACGCTGGGGAGGGATCATCTAAGGCAGTCTTTGAACAGCCAACTCTCCCAAGCCTTGAAAACTAGAGTGAGCAATTTTGGCGTATTTTGTTCGTGGCTATCAAGAGAAAGGAGTTGTATTTTGGGGAGGGTGCAGCAGACATTTATATACCACGACATTTGCATGGGGAATTTGGCACATGTCTATGCTTAAAGGTGCCCTGTCTTTGGAGCCTGCCCTATGCCAGAATCTGAGGCAGCTGCTACAAGGAGAGAATTGCCCAGCAAGTGTGAAGCAGCTGCGAGATTCCATTGAGCTCAAAGGTGGCTTGCAACTGTTTAGGGTTGGCCCCGGGATGTAGGATGTTTGTTTGGAGTTGTATGTAATGTGAGTGAAAGCTCACGATCTTGAAGCATGTCTGTTTGCGTTTGCTTGTGCGGGGTTCAGAAGGATGCCTTTTGCTATCTGCTGAGGTGTTTTGGTCGCAACTGTCGCATGCTGAGCTGTTTGGTCAGAACGAGCTCATATACGTTCTCAATTCTAGGCTCTTCACGGTAAAGACTGTGGATGAAGAGATCTCAGAATCCTCTTCCTCTAACCCTTTGGAAAGGCAAACCCTGAGGCCAAACAGCCCGAAGCCAAGGTGGTCTGAGCTCCTAAACCAAAAGCCCAGAACCCGATCAGGGCTTTAAGCCTGGCAGGTGATGCAGTCTTCCGTTTCTACATTCTCTTCCTCTTGGGCTTCATGAATCTAGACCAACACTTTGAGTTCAGGATTGGAGTTTGAGTTCAGAATGAGCGTTCAGGATCATGGGTAAATCGCCAAGATGAAGCACCATCATTAATCCCTAAACACAGCAGGAACAATGTACTCTTTTGTGACTCCTGCATAAGCACTGCAGAGCTAACAGTGAACCTGCTTCAGGATCCCTGTGTCCAAATGCAAGTCTAAGCTCATGCGATGACATGATTTCACATGCGTGTACACATCAAACCTGAAACCTGGCCTCTGACTTCCGTATGTGGGGGTTGTTCTAAAAGCCATTGCTCTACGTCTCCTCTTGGGCGATTTTTTCAATAAATCAAGTTGAAACATTGCAAAAACTGCGCGGTGCAGATTGTCGCTGAAGGCCGAGTGGAAGGCACACTTGTCAGAGTACTCAACGAGATATCAGGAGGCAACAAGCACAGCCTCCAAGAGTGCTGCCTTTGGCCATTTAAACACCTCCCGAATCCCAAAAATGCGTTTAGAAGGCCGTCAAAAATGCATTTTGCAGATTCCACAAGTGTCAGGCCTCCCAGAGTTCTGCCCTTGGCCATTGAAACACAAATCTCCAAAATGTGTTGAAAGGGCTGTCTGAAACGCATTTTGAAGGTTTCCCAATTCTCAGGCCTCTATGTGGTCCTTCAAACCCCTCCCAAATTATCAAAGTGCGTCCAGAGGGCTTTCAAAAATCGATTCTGAAGGTGCCTCAGTTGTGAGGCCTCCAACCGAGCTTGCTTTGCCCAGGCAGACACCTTCCAAATCCCCAACATGCATTTAGAGGGCTTTCAAAAACGCTTTTTGCAGGTTCCCCAATTGTCAGGCCTCCAACAGCGCTACATTTGGGGCATTTAAAACACCACGCAAATCCCCAAAATGCATTTAGAGGGCTATTTAAACCGCATTTTGAAGGTTCCCCAGTGGCCAGGCCTCCTTCCGTGCTTTCTTGGCCCAGACAGTCAGCTTCCAAATCTCCAACGCGCGTTTAGAGGGCTGACAAAAACGCATTCACTTCCCAAATCCTGAGAATGCATTTAGAGGGCTGTCTAAAAAGCGTCTTAAAGGTTTCCTTAGGATTTGTAGGGTTTAGACCTGAGCGCACCCCAGCCCAAACCCTTTGATGTTGATGATGCAGTTATTTTGCCCCAACTTTAGGGTGTGCGAGAACGTGTTTTGAGAGCTTCCTGAAACGCATTTGAAGGTTGACAGGTTTTCAGGACCCGACCTCCCAAAATGCGTTTAGAGGGTTTCCCGTGAAACGCATTTTGAAGGCTGACAGGTTTTCGGAAACGCATTTGATCAGAAGGCCTACAAGTTTTCAGGCTCGAACCCCCGAAATGCGTTTTGAGGGCTTCGCATTTTGAAGTTTCACGGGCTTTAAGCCCTCGACCCTCCAAAATGCGATTTCAGGACTTGCGGAAACGCAGTTTGAAGGTTGAAAGGTTTTCAGGCCCCAACCCCCAAAATGCTCTACCGCGCTTAACCATTCCCTTCAAACAAGGTGAACCAATCAACACCAGACCCGTTTATGCATTTTGAAGGCTTCCCGAAATGCATTTGCACCTGTCTAGGTGCTTTGAGGCCAATCCTGGTCTCTGCCGCAGCTATTCCCCGCAAGATCGCGAACCAAACAGTACCAGACCCGCTTATGCATTTTGAAGGCTTTCAAAAATGCCTTTGCATTTGTGCACTGGTTTGAGGCCAATCGCGCTTTCCGGCGCAGCTATTCCCTTCAAGAGCGCGAACCAAACAATACCAGACCCGTTCATGCTTTCCAGGGCTCCCAAAGTGCATATGATTTGCACCTGCCGAATTGATTTTGGGATCCCGCAAAACATTTCTTGTGTAATAAGGGTTTTAAAAATTTCTTTAGTTGAAAGCATTGCAAAACCCTGGCGTGCGGAAGACCACGGAAGGCCGAGCGGAAGGGAATCATGCTATGGGGAGCCACGCCTTACTTTTGCACAACCCCCATGTTTCTACATGCATGCACTCTACAGACCCCATCGCCGTTCCATGACGAGAGCCCAGGAGTGGCTTGGCTGCCGGTCACGGCTCCCGCTTTATGGATGCAAAGAACAGTGAAACGACCATCGCAGGAATCCGTTTCTGGACAAGCAGGAAGCACTGTTCGTTGCTGGTTGGATCGGGGCTATTAAGTGATCTGATAGCAGTCGTAGCTTTTGGGTTTGCAACTTGAGTTGGAGTCGTGTTGGGGCCAACGCGGCGGTTTTTCTAGTATTCGGAAAGCGCCAAAACATCTTGGCTCCACATCGGCAACAGATGCCTGTGTCCCTAGATTAGGTTAGCGTTGACTGACTTAAGAAACTCTCAACTTGGGATCAACTTTTAAGCCACCCAATTTTCGAAACCTGGCTACAGGGATGCTTAAAACGGAGCCACGACATGATCCGCTCGGGGCGCTGGCCTGTGGCATGATAATTTGAAAGCCCTGTGATAGGTAGAGGGGGCGAAATAGTTTCTTATGCTTCCAAAGTCCTGAGATGAATTTTGGGTGTATATTATGGCATACAATTTGTTTTGGTTCAGAATTTGGATGGCCACCACAGCGCCCCAGCAGCTGCTGCAGACCGACAGCCCAAAACCCTAACCCCTGGGGTAATTCTTGGGTAGAATCTTCAGTAGCTAACTGCTACTTTTTTAGTATGATGACCCTTCAGCAAGAAGCCATTAAAATTTGAAATATGCTGATATGCGTTTATGCGGGTGCTGAGGTATGCTGGAGCACCTGATGAAGGTTGACCCAGTCAATCTTTACTGGGGATACATGGGGATTCGTGCTGAGAAGCTGCAGCTGCCCTTCAACAGTCCGGAGGAGAGAGCAAGGCTGCAAATTTGTCATGCAAGGGTTCTTCACCTCGTCAAGAGTCCTACATCTCTCGTTTCTCCCTCACACATTCCCATAGTTCATTCGCAACTGTTCTTTCGATGCCTCGGTCCTGAACGAAGAGGTCTCCTCTACAAGTTCAAGACTTCTTCATTCGCAGCTTGAGAAGTTGGTTTCTGGGACGGCTTTCTCATTTAAACAGAAACTTGCTGCGAACTTATGCCGCCGTCTTATTCTGCCCTGGCCCCGTAGCCAGAAAGTCACGATCCATGATCCATGGTTTCCTTCCCTCAAAGGAGCTGGTTTTTGCTCCCCCCTGTAGCGAGACACATGTGGATTCCTGGATCTTGCAAAGCCCTTTTGCAGAGCTCACGTATGCATGTGCCGAATAGTCTTAAGATGCTCCGCAAGTTGGTTTAATAGGGACATGGAACTGGATGCGCAGGACATGGTCCTTCTCCGACTGGCCTGTGCTTCGGATGCATGAGAACACTCGGGTAGGTTGTGGGTGCGCACAGTGACAGTATGCTTGTAGCTTAGCGAGCCTGGCGGAGGCTTTGCAAAGATTCTGGATCACCCCTTGAACGCGGAATTACATGGAGTACATTGACTGAGGAACAGGAGGGGCTCCCAAATCTACAGAAATGTCCTCGCATTTGCACATGGGCTACTTGAGGACTATAACGGGTTTCCAGGATATCAGATTTTGGGAGGAGGTATCCAACATGTCTAGAATTTTCCTGCTTCCAATCTGCATGCGTGTGTACTAATGACGAAAGGAAACAGTCTTTCCACATTTATGGTCTTTTGAGCACTCGAGAGCAAGGGTAGCCTCTTCAGACGCTCTTGTGGAGCCCTGGGCTTTACACGAAGCGCATCATCAAAGTTCTAAGTTTGTAATCCAACATGCCTGGCAGACTGCTCAAGATTGCAAGGCGTATCTCAAGAGGGGCCACATGTTTGCAAGGCCCGCTCGCACTTGGCGGAGATTCTTGTTTAGACTCAAGATGTCATTTCTTTGATCTAGCTGGGGCTCCTGCTTCAAAGAATCCTGGAACCTGTACCAGCGGCAAGGCTTGGATGGTTGTTCAAAGACGGGATGCATGTAGCAGCGTAGCGTTTGAGGAAACCAACCATCCAGATGAAGGACCCCCACCCTGTGAAGGTCTTGCGCGGCTCAAGTGTTACCCATTGCCTATTCTGGCCGTGATGAGGTCTTCAGCGGCTCAAGGACAATTCCCAGTACAAAAGCCTCAAGAATGCCTGGCTCGTGCTTTGTCATGCAAAAGTTCAACCCAAACATGTGGCTAGTTGACTTGTCGAACTCTCGCCCAACTGTGCACTTGCAAATTCCGCCTCGAACTCAGTTTCTCCGCATCAAGGTAGCGCCTATTTGACTAAACAAAGCTGACTAGCTCACCGCAGACGTGACATGCTCTACGCTTACGATCATGCCAAGAAAAACAACGTGAATGATAAAAGACAAGAGCAACGGGAACAGGAAACACAAAGAAATGATCAAAACAAGCTTAGACACAGCAGTATAGTCCAAATATTATCCTGCCACCCTTTTTTCGCTTAGGATGCTGCTACTGCAATTGTCAATGCCAGCATGACGGTCGCGCTTGAGTCTACAATTACAAATGCGCCAACTTCAGCAAAGCACATCACACATCAGCCCGGACATCCTGAAGGTGAGCTTACGCAAACTAGATCTTAGTTTTGTCAGCAGAAACCAGAAGCAGGTACGCTTAGGCGAAGGCATTTATGGGATCATTATTCATTTGTACGGCTGCCTCCATCGTCGTTATGATGGTCAGCATCTTTCTTGAAGCAGCGGCAGGCAGTACTGTCGCTTTCTTGCTGGCATCAACGGCATACACCAGCTGAACGATCATTGGTTCTCTCATTGATGGCACACGGAAATCATCCACCAAAAGACTTACTCCAATTGTTCATGGAACCATATGGAACCTGGCAATTAGGGCACGCATGAAGACGATTTTCGTAAACGTCGTGCCGACCAAGTGGCAAGAGCTCCTTCTGCCAACATCCGCCGGCTTGGGTTCTTTTGAAACGGCTTGATTACTCTCGTCTTAAGCAGCGACCAGCACATGCCGGCAGCCTCCCTGCACACCTGACACTTGCGGCTTCCGGCAGCCACAGAGGCACAACTGGTGTTTGCCATCGGAGCTTTTGAAGAAAAAGGTCGTGTGCCCGTCGCACTTTCCCCATGCACCGCAAGCTCTGGAACAGGCTCTGCGCAGCCCAAAGTACAAGCAAGGTTTCCTTCTAGAAGCAGCTCAAAGGTAATTAGTGTGCAGGCATGTGAGACGTTGGAAGGGACTGACATTGAATGACTCTTATGGGCTAACACAAATGCTCTGGGAATCACATGGCCTTAGAGACGGATTAAAGTACTTCGGCCAGCATGAATGCCAGCATGTGAACATCGCGGCGGTGTGGTTCTAGCACTGACGTTCAACAAATGTGCAGATGCAAACGTACAGGCGTGTCCCAAATGCATGGATGCCACCTGGAGAAAGATTCAAATCCTCAACATACTGTGGTCGCAGTCGGCGATGATGGCCGACATGAAATAAGGACTAGTTGACTAGATTCTGAGGAACCACATCAATCAGCTTCAGCGCTCAGGGTCTCGGAGTTCGTGAGCGTGATTCTTTGACGGAGCACTTCCTAGCGGATGGCATTGAGGACCCATGACACTGCCTGTTGGAATATCAAATATCCAGGTTCTGTTGCGAAGTGGTTATTTCTGGGTCATCTAGCTTGTATTGGGCTTGTTCTGATTATACGAGGATGAGGTATTGATATGGAGTTTACATTGATTAACGCTTGGGAGTTCTCAAAATTACGGTTTTTTCTCAAAATCGTTTCCATAGAAGCACCCACTTGTGCCTCATACAGGTGACCCCGATTCTAATAGCCCCCTGTTGCACTTTCCGCGTGATTGCTGGAGAGGCTGCTCCCATGTGTTGCTATTGCTATATTTCAGCCTAGCATGAACTTTGCAGATGTAAGTGTTGTTGTTCTCATAGCCTCTTTTTCTGGCGCAATCGTTTCTGATTTCAACTTATTGGAGTTGGCGCAGGAATTATGGCCGAAAGGTCCATTGCGGAGCAATGCATCCTCATGTTAAGACCCTGACAACATTGGATCCTAGTTTCATGCGAACCTCTAGATCACGCCAAACTCTTACGAACCCATCCGTTAGCCGTTAGTCCTCTTTCTTGAGCCGTCGAAGTTGCCGTTGGACCCTCAGTTTTGGGAGTTGTGCAGGCAACCGAGTATGGTTTAGCAGCCACGGTCTTCTAGTTTTGGTGTCATCTCCTCTACCGGTATTTCTTCAGAACATGTTGTGTAATACTGGTCCGCTAAACCTACCTAAACCAGAGAACGTGCGAAATGAAATGAGTTTTATTGTTGCTCAGAGACCAGGAAATGCCTACTTTCTATCGTACTGCAGGTCCTAACTATTCTGCAAGTTCATTACCACGAAAGACAAGCTGCATACTTTGTGTGCATCGGCATGCGTGGCGACAGGGTCTTTTTGGAGTTCTATAGATTTACCAGGAAACAAGTGGTACGCGTTGTCGAGCGTACCGCAAGCTGGACTCATGATTTTGCGTTAAAATGCATGGGCAAGCAGGAGCCGGCATGGGTCCTTGAGTTCTTGCCGAACTGCGTTGCCAGTGCGCAGGCTGAATGCCGTGTGTTAGCGCAGCTCTTTTCAAGAACCAGGCAGCTGTGGATTGTTTGTTGACCTTGAAGTCATAGGCTTGTTGGTAATGGAGGCCAATCCGGTGGTTGGCCTGACCGGCCTTCTGGATGCCTCTGGGCAGATCTGAGCTGGGGCCCGAACCTGTAGGCCTTCTACAGTTGTTGAATGGCTTTATAGTGTGTTGCAGGCCCTCCATTCTGGAGTGATCAAAAACACCCAACCTAAAATGCCCAGCCTGATATGAGGTGAAGAGACGCGGTTGGCATGGAAAGAATTAGCATCAAGGTTTTCCAGCTTGCTACATGACGATATGATGTGTGACTGGCTTGCTGCCTGTTTCAATCATGATAGCAGGAAGCCCACCAGTCAGTCAGCACGCTTCTTCAGGGCCTTTGCTTTTTTCCATTACATTGCACATGGCACATTTCCTTGTTATGAGAGCATCAGGAAGCAGGACCATCTTGCCACATCTCGCCATTTCCATTTGTTATACAAACACATTATGAAAGGCACCTCAAGCAACATTACTCTGTCACACCTTGAGGGACACACCCAGTGCCGCAGCAGAGGTTTTGGCAGAGTTGCTGAGCAATCTTCGCTCCCGGAGGAGGGCAGACGACCCGCAGGTGCTTGGGATGGGGCTCAGGGATGATATTTGTGTAGCACACCTTGCTTCCTAGAGCCTCTTGTAAGATCTGAAGACCATGCGCGTACGTACATTAGCTCGAGCATTCGGAGCCCAGTTTTTCAGCTCAACACCTTGGGCTCGCATGCTGGCCTAAGAACGCACCAACAACACGCAAGAATCCCGGTTGTCAGGGAACAAAGGGAACCCTGAGTCAACCCAAGCCCTAAACCTTCCAATTGTACAAGCACCCCTACACACAAATCCCATTTTCAGAAATTCTGAGATGATGCTGGTGGACCTCTCCGACATGAGTGGGTTTATTGCTGCGGTCAAGAATCGCTTTGTAGCTCGTCTGAGTTCTGAGGAGCGGGGCTTGGGCTTAAGATAACTTACAGCAAAGCCCGCACTGAGGCTATGGCTTTAACTAGGAATAGAGTCCTTAGGTATCTCCCGGACAGTCACCGGACTTTGCTTATCTGAACCTTTCTTCTTTCTCGAACTTGCGTTTGGAAACTAGTACCCCACCTCGGCCGTAGGGTTCTCAAGTTCCTGTAACCGATTTTTCCTGCAATGCCGACTACCGCGTGTTACCTTCAGGGTAATTGAGTTGCGGGGTGT